ATTTGATATTTGATTGAGAATTTTAAAAATGAAGATAGGAGGGTATTTTTTTTTTTTATAAATATTTATGATTTCAGTGTTATGGATGAAAAAAAAAATCATAAATAGTTGGCATCTGAGGTAAAAACAGTGTTGCAAAAGAGCAATTTGATTCACATGTCACAGCAAATAGAAGATAGCCTAAGCCCATCAGCAGCAGCTATTAAGAAGTGCAAAAGAGAGTATAGGATAAAAAATCATTTTTAACCTTTATTTTTCACTTTATGAAATTTTTTTATTTTAAGACCTTGCTTCCACTTGGTTATTAGGGCATCTCCAACCGAAAATCTCATTTTTCACTCCAAAATGCAATGAAATCAAAAAATGCAGTGATTCATCTCCATTCGAACGCCATTTTGCCCCGTAACCGTCGTTCTCTTCATTCGCGCCTTTCTTCCACAAGTTCGGTAGTGACCAATTTTTTGCGCGGATGAACAGTGCAACGCCAATATTGGCGACACACTGTTCATCCGCGATCAAATGGCGTCAAAAATGGCGGTCGGTTGGAGCAAAGCAAGAACGGCAAACAAGTGTTTGCCGTTCCATTGGAGTTGCCCTTAGCAATATTTTTACTCCCTACGCTTGGATTTATATAATATAGTCAATCCAAATGAAAATTTTCTTTTCTTCTTATAACATAGTACTCCAAGGCACTCCATTTAAATCCCCAAATTTAACTTTAGAAGTTGTCCTAAATATCTAAATTATTTTGTGTAATAAATTGGATATTCGTAAGTCTATAACACCCAAGTAGCATTTAATCTTCCAAGTACATTGACTTATAAGTATCAATTTCACATCCAATACAATTTATAGACATTACAGTTAATCATTTTAAAAATAATTCGAAGCAGCTACTCTATTAAAAAAATTACTCTATTGATCGATCTTGTGACTTATTTTAAATGATATCTCACCTAGAATAGATGACAAAAGCTACTATCTAAAATTTGAAGACCATGACGAGAGATACTCCAAAACTAAAACCAAACTTCATCAGGATCTCTAATATTAGAAAGATATTAAAAAAAAGCAAGTTTATCATCCAATTGTAACACAAAATTCATAGAGAAATAAATCAGCATACCTCATGTGTTCTTCAAGTTCCAAATTGTGGAAATCTTCCAGAAGCTTGGAATCGTTTTCTACAGTTCCTGAGCTCTCTTCAAGTTCCATCAACCTTGCAAAAGGAAAGTTACTTAGCATAAATACCAATAAAAAAATACAAAATTTGCAGCTAGTGATTCCCGCTGCAACCAGGCATCCGCTACTTTTGCTAGGTCAGATATAATGCCCTACCTGTGTTGATTGCATGGCATATGCATAATGCACTATACCTTCCAGTCTATATCACAGAGAAACAATCTATTCACATTTATTGTTGGGATGGTAGGCATTACAGCAAAGGGAAAATGAGAAGCAAAAAGAAGAAATAGTTGGATGAGATCAATACATCTAAAGCAGAAGGTAAATTAATTAGGTCAAGAAGTAACGATCATTGGCAGAAAAAGAAAATAAATCATTATTATTGCATCATTGGCAGAAAAAAATAATTTATAAATAAACCATCTGTGCCTCTTTTGATCTCTCAGATAATTTATAAAACGGACTCTCTATAGATCCCCAATAACCAACCTTCACATGAATAGCTAATGATCCGATAAGTCCAACATTGATTCCTTCGGACGTGTCAATAGGACAAATACGTCCATAGTGACTCGGGTGGATATCTCGTATCCGAAAACTAGCAGTTCGTCCCGTCAATCCTCCAGGACCCAAATAACTCCATTTTCGCCCATGAACAATTTGTGTCAACGGATTAGTTCGATCCAAAACTTGAGATAAAGGGTGTAGGCCAAAAAACGATTCATAAGTAGTTGTTAATGAAGTTGAAGTTACCAAATTTTGATATTGATCGTTGGTGGTACATTATCTATTGGTATACTATTTGCTAGCCCAGATAATGGGTTTAACATGTAGACTGAAGACTTTACTTGAAGGGGTTGATAGGCACCAATTGGATTAGTGATGACCTTCATATTGATTCAGATTTACTAAGAGGAAAAAAACGATCAGGACATCCTAAACAACTTTTTGTGTATTCCCCTTACGATCAGAACATCATTTTAAATAATTAATATATTAAAATAGTTGTAAATTATTTTCCCTCAATTTTATAACATTCTAGCTATTTTCTTTCTATATTTTTGCAAGCATCATAGAAAAAATGTGACAAACTCACTACCTTAGATTTTAAATTTCTATTAACAAAAGAAATGGTAAGAATTTTTTTTCTCATTATGTTTCCAACTTCACAAGATTTTTAATAGTTTTTAAAAGAAAAAAAGGATCAAAATGACCCCTTGACTCTTTATGAAAAATTAAAATAGTCCTCAACTATATGAAACGATCATTTTGATCCTTCGACTCTTTAAAGAGGAACCAAAATAATCCCACCATGGGACTATTTTGATTTCTTTTTAAAAACTTGTGCGCATGAACAAAAAAGTATGATGATGCAGTGCAGGTTTTATTAATTACTAAATGAGAGCCTTTTTTTATGCATGGCCAAAATTTGAGTCATTCTTAGAGATAACATTTAAATATGAAAAAAGTTTGAATGATTAAGAAGATGCAAATTAGGAAGAGTAAAATCAGATGCAAGAAACAGAAATCAATTAATGCAAGAGAACAAATTGATGATAGGATAATGATAATAATTAAGAACTGCAAAGGTGACTGCGTCCAAAGCATTGCTCTAACATTTTAACAAACATTTAAGTATATAACTTACATTAAAAGCTGAAAGTAAGGAACAAAAATCTATTAATGTGAAAATGAATTATTACTTCGCACGAAGAAGATCCACAAGTAGCTCCAGAGCTGCATAATCCCCACAAGATTCCCAAACAGCTGCTCGCACATCTGCTTCAGATGGATGCCCCTCTTCTATTGATCCAACAAGCTATACATATAAAGAAGAAAATGATTGTAACAAAAAGCAACCAAGTGATAATAACATTTCAAATCTTTCCCATTTGTAAAAAAAAAAAAAAAAATCTTAAATTCATACCACAATTTTTAGTGTAAACTTTGTATCTAGATGAAAACAAGCAGAAATATCACGTTTCCAAAGGATGCACAGACGGTGGACAAAATATGGATTAAAAGAGAGAAAACGAGTGAATCACATTGAAAACCCATAATGTAAGCTGCAAGATAAACCAACAGTTTCAAGTTCAACACAAAAATTCTGTTCTATAAAGACCTCATTATTAAGGCAAAAGTCAAATGTCTTTCTCGACTTCTCCATAGCATGCCTTAAGGAGTTAGGCAAGAATGGTTATGGAAACTAGAAAAATAGAAGACAGCATAAACATGTCTGGGCTATCATTTGATTCTAGAAAGGAAAATAATTTCTATCAAGAAAAAGGACCAAAATGGTCCTTAATTATAATAAAGGATCATTTTAGTTTCTCAGGTTTTTAAAAAGTAATCAAAATAGTCTCGTGAAGGAGTTGAGGGACCAAAACAGTCATTTAATATAGTTTGAGACTATTTTGATCTTTCATAAAGAATCAATGGACCATTTTGATCGCTTTCTCAATTTCTATCATTATGGTCATTAGCAGCTAAAGAAGCAGAGTTTAGCATCAATAGGCCTACAACTTAAACACTATACAATTCTCACCTCAGCTAGCAGAGAAGTGGCCTTTTTAATCTCATGATCTTGCATTTTTATGGTTCGTAAAGCTGCCATGAATTCTTGAGGGAAAACCAACTTATGCAGATATGAAGGAGCCTTGCGTTGACCACTCCAGCTAAAACTGCTACGGTCACTGACCTCATCCTTATGATAGTCAGTATAAAAGCCATTATCTAGAAGACTTCTGGGTAGGAGACATCTCAATTCAGCTTTCTGCAAACCATCAAAAGGCCAAGCATTCATGATGGTGACAAAGTTGCAGTTAACAATCTATTCATATTGGTCTTCATTAGGGAGTATCTAGGCTCATTAGCACACCTAATAAATGTGACTGCACAAATGTTCACACGCACACATGCAAACACATAAATTCATAAAGAGAGGAGAGAGAGAAAGAGAGATTAATGCTCAGTTAGAAGAATAAAATAGCTAGTCCAAACATATTTTTGACCAACCAAGTTTTGAATAGCTAAAATTTAAAGTAGGTTAAAGTGATCATAAATGTAAAAAGATCTAAAAGTTATATCTTGGCTATTTAAATCTTAGTCATTCTATATTTATAACGAAGACGAAAGATTTATAACTTGTCCTAGTTCCCTTATGAAGAATAACACCTAACCATGTGTCTTTTTATGATATCTTAGTATCCTATATACAACATCAAGGTGCTCTTTTGTGGAGTTATTAATAGCTGACTGGTAATCAAAAACAAATATCACATCTAGCATGCGATGGACAGATGAGCTTCCCTACTAACCATTGATATCTTCCTTCATCAACAAGAGTTGAGTCTTAATACCAATTTTATTTAAAGGATCCAATAATGTGTTTGTAGGCTTGCATCGAAACATTCTAGATTCTTTTAGAAAGTCCAGACCTATTTCTATTGAGCGACGAATTTTCCCTTTCTTGATTTAGCTATCGACATGCCTTCCTTGATTTAGCTATTGACATGCCTACGAAAAATTTCAATATAAAAAAATACAAAAAAGGCACAATTAAAAAATCTTCCAACCCCAATTTTCTCACATAATGAAGATCATCAAAACTATTTTTATTAAATTCAACTTTTCATTTCAATCATTTGCATATACAAATGTCTATATGAATAATATCACTTTATTAATTAATTTATTTAATTAAATCCTATTTAATTCAATCATATCAGACAGAGGAAGATCTCTGTAATCAAAATTTAATTTTTCAAAGCTTATTTTTGCATTTGAGTTTATTGTAAAAATAGTAAAAGTCTTTATTACTCTTCATGTTATACTCGATTATTGAAATAATATTTTTCAAATATGTAGTTAAAATTCCTCACATTATTGAACCTCACCACCACTCACATAGAGGAAAAGAGTGAAGGGAGAGGATGAGGATGGGGATGGGGATGAGGATGGATGGGCCTAGCGTCTTTCTTATTCCGGGTATAAGAAAGATTCTTATCAATGTCTTCCTGAACACAAGGAAGGCGCGAAGCGTAGTAACTTCCGGAGTGAACGAGTGGGGAGGAGGGGGAGGGTGTAGCTCCTGGCTAATCAATCTTCGATACATTCAGCTGTCATCACGTCTAAAAAATAAAGCCTCAATATTCATTTATAGGAAGTTAGGGTTCACATTTACAAAACTTTGAAAACATGACATGAAACATGAAAATAAAATGGCAAACATTGCAATAAGCTAGGTGATGAGGACATCGTCAGTGATTTCGACATGTTCATCGAGACACCGGAGATCGACGGTCATCGATCATGGTTATATTTGAGTCATTTTATGTATTTTAGTTTTTTTTTTCAGTTTTACTGTTTTACCCTTATGGATGTCTATTTGATATTGTACGCCTAGGGCATTTATGGTCTTTTAGTTTTATTTCATTTGGCCTATTTATAGGAGCCTCATGCATTGTACTAGATGATGAAATTGAATGAAAAATTTACCTCTTTGTGGCTCCGAAAAATTCCATTTTTTGGGTGTCGATCTCGAGGGAATTTTCAGAAGGAGATTGAGTTTTAATTAAGAAAACTACTCACAGAGATTTGCCCTCATTTTGGTGAAGGGGACTTTTTATCCGATTCTGGTTTCCTATAGGCGCAAGCCCCATAGTAAATCCCTCCCGATAAAGAGAGAATTTCGATTAAGCTTAGTCGTAAGGATATCACTAGGTTATGAATCCTATCTATAATAGTAATAATTTTAGGGTTTAAATTTTGAATGGAAGTTTGAAATTTTGAAATTTATCACCATAACTTAAAACTGGTGGTGGGAGAATGAAACGAAGCCCATTAAGATCCCATGGTTCCGTCGTCCCGGTGTCATGAAAATTAAAAATTCCCCCTTTTATATTTTTATTTTTTTTTTTTTTTTTTTTTTTTTTTTTTTATTTTTGTTTTTTTCCTAGTGTTTGTATTGTTTTTTATTTTGTATTTTTTTTTTTTTTTTGTTTTTTGTCTTTTTTAGATTGTTCGGTTTCTTGTATTGTTGCTTTCTTATTGATTTTATTAATTTTTTTTTTTTTTTTTTTTTTCCTTTTTTCATTTTTTTTTTTGTTTTTTTGTTTTTTTTTTTTTTTTTTTTTTTTTTTTTTTTTTTTTTTTTTTTGTTTTTTTTTTTTTTTTTTTTTTTTTTATTTTTGTTTTTTTTTGTTTGTTTTTTTTTTTTTCTTTTTCTGTGTGTTGTGTTTTTTTTTTATTTTTTTTTTTTTTTTTACTTTTGTTTTTTTTTTTTTTTTTTTTTTTTTTTTTTTTTTTTTTTTTTTTTTTTTTTTTTTTTTTTTTTTTTTTTTTTTTTTTTTTTTACTCTTTATTTATTTTTTCTTTTTTTTTTTTTTCTTTTTGTTTTTTTTTTTTTATTTTTTTTTTTTTTTTTTTTTTGTTTTTTCTTTGTTTGTCGTTTCTTTGTTTCTTTTTTGGGTTCTTACTTAGTTTCATTGAGTGAGGTTAGTTTTCGATCCAACCTGACAGAAGGCTATTCTGTCCAGCCATGGGTTATTCATCCAAGAATACCTGTAGATCCTGGGTGATATTGTCTAAGGTGATAGTATCTGAACCACTTCGTAGCTAACAAGATGCTTTATGTTCTCTATTGGATTTATTTACTCCGATGATCCATCGCTCAAGGTTGACGCCTTTTAGATACATACGGCTTGCCGTTGATCGTTTAATTATAATGTGCTCATTTCTGCTGAAACCATCTTTCGTCATATAGAGCGCACGTGGCCACGCCCTGTTTGGCAAAAGAGACTGTTTATATGAATTTCTATAGTTATTTGATTCACTCGATTATCAACATTTACCTCTTTGTGAGCTAGGTTATATTTCATAATTTATACCCCCGACAAACTGATTGCGGAAGTGGATATTTTAGTTTGATGTTTTAGTTATGATTGATTTTTATTTCAAGGAATTATACTTTTTTGATTTTGAGATTAAACCCCTTTTTTTTTTTGTTCCGTTGAGATTTTCTTCAACCGCTTTTCCATCTATCGGTTGTGATAACCATCTTTTTTATTTTTTAAGATATTTGGTTAGGAATGTATTTGAAAAAATAGTTTGGATTATGGAACCTCCTCCGTTTTATATTTTCTCAACTACTTTGGCCTATCATCGGGTTTGGAATTAGCGTTGTATTTTTGTAGAATTTTGGGATGCAGTTTATTTATTCAAGTCTTCTTGCGACTCCAGTCCTTTTATTTAGAGGTATGGATGTAACTTGAATATTTAACCAGTCGCAGCTTATTCTCAGATCGTGGATTGAATTTCATATTTGTTTACGATCGGTTTTATCTCCTTTTTATGCTGTGATAGTATTTACCTTCTGCGCAACATCTCACTATTTGGTTTGTAACTTTATAGGACTTTGGAGCACATGCAGGGTTAATTTATTTAAGGGATTCTATATTTAAACATAATGGGCAATTTTAAAATATTTAAATATGATCCATTTAATCAAATTATTTTTATTAGGTATAAATGTCCCAAAATTCATTAAGGCCTTTTACGAACTTGGTCTTCTGTTTCCGCTGCTAAACATGTTGCGTATCCTCTTGTGGCGTTTACTTTTGATAATTTGCTTCAGATAAGATGTATTTACGTTCTAAATATTTGTCTTCTTTATTCATTTGATTTTTTTTTTTTTCACTAATTCCCAGTGAGAATTTTACTCTGATTAAGTTGATGTTAGGATATTGTGTTCGATAGTGTATGACTTATCTTGCTTGATATAAGTTTCCCCTATTGCCTAACCATAGGTTTAGACTAATTTATTTATTGATATAAACCTCCCTGAATGGTCCTTGCTTGCGGAATTCTACTAGCTACGAAAAATATAATGTTTTTGTTTGTAGAGTATTTATTGTTGACTGGATAGAAGTCGTAGTGTTCATTGCATGAGGCTTATATATATCTTCATACAACACTAGTGTTATAATCGATTAGAGACTTACATTTCAAAATGTTTTCCTCAATTTTTATTTAAGGATGTATCATGTTCAATGTTGAAAGTGATCTATCAAGGTCCAAAGAACTCACATACCATGACTTTGTAGTCAAATTATACTCCCAAAAGAAGCTTTTGTTTCTTTAAGGATGGTTCAATTTGTATGATGGATTTGGTCATTCAAGTCAAGTTCTTTATATTTTAGTTTAAATTCAATTCCAAATGGCTCATTGAAGTTCAAGTTCTTATAGTCATGTTCAGTGCAAGTATGGTTCGAGTTCAAATTTGAGTTCGATTCGAGTTTAAATTTAAGTCCAATATTATTTGATCGAATTTTAATTTAAAATTGATTTTATATTTGAATTTCGTTCAAATTAATTTTAAAGTTTTAGTCCAAATGTTCACTGAAAATTTCAGCAGCCTCCCGGCGTCTCCTCCCCACCGAGGGAGAAATCGGGATGGCATCTGCCGAAATTTCTTCCTACCCGGACCTAAGGTCGACGGCGTAGGGGCTTCGAATTTAAACCATCCCACCAGGATCGAAGATCGACTGCTTGGGGTCTTCAATTTGGAACTATCCCGGCCGGATCTAAGATGCGACGGCCGGGGTCTTTGAATTTTAAAACCATCTGCTCGGATTAAAAATCAACGACGCAGGTCTTCAATTTCAAACCATCCCGGTCGGACCTAAGGT